CATAATCTAAAAACATCCCTGTTTTTTCCTTCTCTACAATATTTCTTCATAAAAAAAAAGGAACAGAGAAGAACGAGAGAGAGAGAGGCGTGAGTGAAATACAGAGGGAGAGAGATGAGGAATTAAATATAGGGTGAGAGAAACATGACATTGGAGATAGGATATACTTGTGTCTTTATTAATTGAGGGTGTTTATGTCCATATACTAATTATTTTATTTCATTTATATTATTTTTTTGGGTCGAAGGACCTATACCTATATTCATCTAGCAACTATGATCTCTACCTCTATAAATACAAAATAAAGGGTTTCTAGCAAATTTCCCCGTAGTAAATCACCATTATCTGGTGTTAACTTCATATGCTCCTCCATTTGAATTGAATAAGGACGAGATCCAAGTAATCCAACATCTTTCAAGACATCAAATGCATATTTCCTTTGGCAAAAAAAATTCCTTTGTTCGATCGGGAGACTTCAATGCCAAGAAAATACTTTAAATCACCAAGATTCTTGATCCGAAATTGTTGAATGAGAAACTCCTTGAGAGACTTAATTGCTTCTTGATTATTTCCTGCCCGATGATGTCGTCGACATAAATAACCACGATGATGTCGTCCACATAAATAAGAACCGCAGTAAATGAATTCCCTTCGGATTTGGTAAATAAGGAATAATCATCTTTGGATTGATGGAACTCCGCCTTTTGATGGCATGGAGAAATTTGGCGAAACCATTTCTTGAAGCCTGATTTAAACTATATAGGGATTTATTGAGCCGACATACTACACTCTCCCCCTATCGGTGAAGGCCTAGAGGAACCTCCATGTATACTTCTTCCCTATACATTGCCGCATCAAAATCACCGCAGAAAAGCACAATCAAACCCTCTCAGAAAAGCACAATCAAACCCTTTCGCAAAGAGGAGAAATTGTTATACCGGCGAAAAGTCGAAAACACCCAAATAAAACTTAACAGAACCACAATAAGACATGAATCGGATAAAAGAGGAAAAAAGAAAAATTATACAACTGAGAAGTACAAACCTTTTGCAATAAAAATTAAGAACACTTATAAAAATCAATAACACGAATTCCACCAATGACCAGTTGTGAATCGCCAAAGGGGAAAAAAAAAGAAAAAAAAAACAAGAGAACAACATCTAAGAAAACAAAGATTACGCGTTATTATTATTCAAAACATATTCAACATACATTTCATGCATGATGCAAAGACTAAAATTCCATTTCTAACGAAAATTTAGAAAAATGGGAAAATTTCACAGTTGGATATTATCGGCCCTCCTCCTTTACCCGGGCTTGGGACCGGCTGTGCTGAGCAAAGAAAATATTGCAGGCACAGGCGGAGTTACAAGAATAAACCTATACACAACTAGCAACAGTAAAACACACACATGATTACACATAGATATAAGCAAGCAAATTGTACATACCGTTCCAGACAACAAATATTAAAGCTGAGAAATAGTTTGATTCATATACGATAGTAGATTGGATAAAAGCTTAGTTACCTATAAAAACTTTTGTACTCGTTTCAATCATTCATTTCCATTTTCTATCTCCTAATTATTGTGGAGAACATTACAGATAAAGGAAACACCTCATGTGAAAAAAATTATGCAGAAACAAACCTTAAATCAAATAAATTCACCGAGACTTGAAAAAAATGCATCACTTTAGCATATTAGCAGTGTTAGATAAGAACATTAACTCACAATCTGCAAAAAGACAATTTCACGCACTTGAAAATTCTAACATACTATATAAATCACGATGAAGAACTGACAAAGAACTGTGCAGAATGGTATTCCAAAGCATATTCAATAGATTCTAAACATCCTCAAAACAGCAGAGCAGCAAATCTAAAGTCTCCTCATAAGAATCACAACATACTGCGAGCAGAAACAAGGCCCCAACAATCAACTTCAAATACTACTTGACAACTGAACGAGGTTTATTATTCTGAGATGCATAGTGCCAACTTACCTTGTGTAGAAAAATTGCCAGGAAGAAAAAAACCAAGTCTTCGTAGATGCCTATAACTCGATGCATATAAAACCAAAAATAGATGCTCAAGGCCACAATAAAGAATACTAATCACTTGATCTGCAGAAGAAGCACACGTTCCACACCAGTAATGCATTATCTGACCAACTAAAAGCACAAACAATTCTAGTGCAAAATAACAGAAAACCCGAGTGAAATAACATCCCAACACTTTTACGACTGCTTTCAAAATCTAAGGCAAGAAACAAAACTCGATGCAGAAACCTTGCGAAGAAACCAAAGAACACCATACACGAAGACACAAGGCAGGGTCTTATTGCAAGTCATGATCTCATATTTTGTAGTTAATATGATAAAAGTGTATCCTGGAATTGAGAAATTCATGATAGGGATTAACTGAAGACAACCAAAGAAAAATAAAGTGAATAAAAAATCACAGCTCCGGAAAAGCGAAGGACCCAAGGATAAAAAGTTAATAACCAACAAGTAAAAGAAGAGTCTAAATTCTCGACACATAGTTGGCAAAAGTTCAATTATGAATAAGCTTTTTAGACTCTAGTTTAAAGCCCAATAGAATATCAATGTCAACATTCGTTTTAGTAGATTACCTACAAAAGTGAATTTTCGGACAAATAGAGACTTCAGAAACTAGTGAACCTAGGATGGCATGTTAATTAAGAAGAATGCATGAAACAGATTTAAAATGCCACTATTGAAAATAAATTTTATACTCGGCAAGTTTATGAACATATAAAATAAAAATCCAAATTCAAATCAGTACATTATAACTTATAATTTATGAATTATATAAATCTGGACCACTGGAATCCTAAAAAACTAGAGGAAGAACATAGAAAATATGCATGTTCTGTGGTAAAAGAGTCGACGCAGAACATGCAGCCAAAGCAGAGATGAGGGAACTTTTTCCTTACTATGAGCGTAAGATATTATAAACAGATAAAATCTAGCTGCAATCATCCATAAATTATAAATTATAATTTAAATTATCCCATTCAAGATTAGAAAATTTTATAAATTAAAGATTATAGATTATAAATTGCTAATGTCTATATGTTGAAAAATGAGAAACGTTAACTAGGATTTCTGAATAAAGTTAACTAGGATTTCATCAGTGCTTTTGGGGGATTGTGTTTCCTATCAACTAATCTTCGCAAGTAAGAGTGATATCAAAATTTGCTTCGAAACCAAAAAAGGGGTTTGGTTAAAGGAAATATATCCAAAAAAGGGGTATGAGATAATTAATAATTAACCAAACCAGTTTAGGCGGGAAATAGGACAGACAAATCATATACTTGCAGCCAAAAAACAGATTGCCATCAACATTAAAAAAAAAAACAGAAAGGTTACAAAAAAGTGATGTAAATAAGTAGTGTGATAGAAAGAGCAGTTAGACCAATAATTGGTATCTTCAGTAATGTAGAGTTGCTTCACAATGTCATACCGAATTGCAATATTACTAGATTACTTAGAAAAGTGAATTTCGGACAATAGAGACTTCCCATCAAAACTAACGGATTGAAACTAGTGGACCTAGGATGGCATGTTAATTAAGAAGAATGCAGGCAACTATCAAAAATAAATTTTATATGCAGCAAGTTTATGAAAATATAAAATAAAAATTCACATCTAGCTGATAATTTTATATGCAGCAAGTTACCGTCATGAATTCTAGCCAAGATATTATGAACAGATAAATCTAGCTGATAATGATCCATAAATTATGAATTATAATTTAAATTATCCTATTCAAGATTAGAAAATATAATAAATTAAAGATTCTAGATAATTCAATTATATATGTCGTTATGATTACCTTAATTCCTGCTAGGTAGACGAACTCGAACATACACCTTGTTTACTGAACAATAAATATACAACCAAAGAAGCCACAAAAAGAAACCCGAGAACATGGAGAGAAAATTCAAGAAGCCACACGCAGTTGGATTTGCTTAAAAAAGGCGAGCAAACCCCAAAACCAGGAAGGAGAACAGAGTTGTGGAAATATTCCAAATTCGAAAGCTTTGAAACACAAAGCACATTAAGCAAAGATCGAGACAAACTGAAATTGTTTTCAACAGCAAAGACTTGATGCATAATCATACATTCCAATTCAACCAACTTTAGCACTACTATAAAAAGGCGAGCAGGTCCCATAAGCAGAAAAACATAGTGATCAGACAAACAAATAATTACAATCAACAGTAAGAAAGGAAGAACAAATTACACAAGAAGCATTAAAATGCAACGGTAAGTACACCTACCGTTTGCATCAAGGACAGATCAGAAAGCCCAAGATAAAATGAAACATCGAGGTAGCGAGGTGTTAGCACACAAGGGAACAGAAGTCCTATGAAATAAATAAAACACAAATTAGTTGTCTTCCCCATTGTGCCTTGATCCCCATTAGTGGCTTTAAACAAGACTTTAACCTCAGATCCAACTGCATTTAATAAACAAGATAGAAAAAAACATCTAGGTGGTGAGGGATATTAGCACACAAGGTAATAGAAATACTAGGAAGTAAACAAATCATAAAATGCGTCAACTTCCCCGTTATGTCGTGATCCAATCAGCTAAGACTCTAAACCTCAAATCCAACTGCATGCAAAGTTAAGACAAAATGAAACAGACGTGGGACTCGGTAAAAAAACACAGAAGGTAAAAGAGGTCCAATGAAATAAATAAATCATCAATTAGATATTCCCATTATGTCCCGACCCAAGTAAATCATCAATTAGATATTCCCATTATGTCCCGACCCAAGTAGGCTTCCATTAAGACTCTAAAAACCTCAGACCGAACTGCAATTTAAAGGACAAATCAGTTAGAAAATCAGGCAACATCAGTGCAGAAAGGGGGTATTAGAACACAATATGGAAATAAATATATCACTAATTATATTATCTTCCCCATTATGTCTCGATCCGTTAGCAGCTTTTAAGACAAGACTCTAAACCTCAGATCAAACTGCATTTACCAGACAAGACTAAATTAAACATCTAGGTAGTGACACAAAAAGGTGATAGAATTCTTAAGAAACAAATAAATGAAAATTAGATCATCTTCCCAATTATGTCTCGATCCCAACAATAGCTTTAAGGTGAGTAACTAAAGTCGGAACAACTGCAAGCAATGGACAAGACAATGACACATCAAAGTAGGGAGGGGGTATTAGCAAACAAGAAGTAATAGAAGTCCTAAGAAATAAACAGATCACAAATTAAACATCTAGGTAGTGACACAAAAAGGTGATAGAATTCTTAGGAAACAAATAAATGAAAATTAGATCATCTTCCCAATTATGTCTCGATCCCAACAATAGCTTTAAGGTGAGTAACTAAAGTTGGAACAACTGCAAGCAATGGACAAGACAATGACACATCAAAGTAGGGAGGAGGTATTAGCAAACAAGAAGTAATAGAAGTCCTAAGAAATAAACAGATCACAAATTAGTTATCTTCCCAGTTAACTCTTTGTCCCATCAATGGCTTCAGACAAGACTCTAAACGTCAGATCCAACTGCATTTACCAGGCACAGCGAAATAAAAAATTTAGGTAGTGAGAGATATTAGCACACAAAAAGGTTAGTCACTAAGAAACAAATAAATAAAAAATTAGATCACACACAAAAAGGTTAGAGTCACTAAGAAACAAATAAATAAAAAATTAGATCATCTTCCCCGTTACGTCTCGATCCCAACAATTGCTTTAAGGTAAGACACTAAACTCAGAACAACTGCAATCATAAATTAGTTATCTTCCTCGTTTTATCTCTGTCCCATTAATGGCTTCAGATAAGACTCTAAACCTCAAATCCAAACTGCATTGTCTTCCAGGTGGAGAGAGGATGTATTAGCACAGAATAAGGGAGTATAAGTGCCGCAAAACAAATAAATCAGAAATTAGATTATCTTCCCAATTATGTGTCGACTCCACCAGTAGCTTTAAGATAAGAATCTAAACCTCAAATTCAACTGCATCCAATTAGACAAAATGCAACATTCAGGTGGGGAGGGGATATTAACACCAAAAAAGGGAATAGAATTTCCATGAAAAAATCAATAATATGTTAGATCTTCCACATTATGTCCCATCAAGTAGAGCTTTAGATAAACCTCCGGTTGGTCACGGCGAAACAAAACATCCAGGTGGGGAGGGAGCATAAGGGAATAGCAGTCCTATGAAGTAAATAATTGACAAGTTAGATTATCTTCCCCGTTATTTCTCGTTCCCGTAGCTTTAAGATACAACTCTAAACCTCCAATCCAACTGCATTTAACGGCAAAACAGAACAAAACATCCAGGTATGCAGGGGGTATTAGCACAAAATAAGAGATTGGCTGTCTTATGACTTAGATCGCAAATTAGATTGTCTTCCCCTTATGTGTGTGCCCATCACAGCACAGCTGTTAACATAAGACTCTAAACCTTAGATCGAACTGCATTTACCAGACAGGACAGAATAAATCATCTGGGTTGTGAGGGGGTGATTAGCATGAAATAGAACTATGAAATTAAATATCACAAATTAGATCATCTTCCCCATTAATAGCTTTAAGATAAGACTCCAAACCCGAGATCCAACTGCATGCAATGGACAACCAATGCAACATCCAGGTGGGGAGGGGGCGCATTAGCACACAAGAAAGGAATACAAATGCAACAAAATAAATAAATCATATCTTAGATTATCTTCCCAATTTATGTCTTCATCCCATCAGTCATCCAATTGTATATAACGGATAAAGGCTGAGATCTGAATCCAACTGCATTTGATGGACAAGAACGAACACAATAAATAAAAAAATCCATTCAATAGCTTTAAGATTAGACTCTCTAAACCTCGTATCAAACTGCATTTACTCAGCTCTCTTGCTTACGAGAGAGGTGACCTGTCCACATGATCCATAAGAGGCTAAAGTCTAGTAAATCTAAAATTTTCATCAGTCCAGTAGTTAGCTTTAGAAAATAAAGATGAAACTAGCACAACTTCATAAAGACCAAAATCAAAGGTACCAAATGGTTGAACGACCACAGTCATTTTTGTTGCAAGTTTATGCACATAGAAAGGAAACCAAATCGGATTTGAAATGTAAAAGATCATGGAGGGAGGGATTCATGAGAATATATAACTTGGCATCACTATTGTACTCACCACCACTCGTTGATCCACACAGCCCAAAACATAGTAGAACTTCTCAAAACATAACACGAAATTGTCATACACGGAAATTCACGAAAAAACAGAGAAGTGCTCAAAGCTTGAAAAACTTTCCTTTTTCCAGAAATCCTACGACCGCGCAGAAAATAAATCAAACCAGCCAAACAACCAGACCAGGATGAGAAACATGAACCAAATCCGAACCACGGGATATTAAATTGCATATCACTCCATAACCAAACATCCTACATACCTTGCTGGATCAATTATCATTCAAAGAAGTCCTAGACAGTACCACAGAGAAAAGAAACAAATAACAGACGCTCCCGATAATAAGATTGTAAGACCAGCGAAATAACCCAAATCAGAACCACAAATAGACAGGCACGAAAGAGATTTAGATAAAACACAAGGTAGATTATCTTCCACATAAGTATCCATCACATCTGTAGCTTTACATAAGAGACTCCACATCTGTAGCTTTACATAAGAGACTCTGAAGCCCATATCGAACTGCATTTTCCAACCGTTTGCTAATGCGATACGTGATCCTGTGCAAACGGTCCAAGGGATACATGTAAAATCAGATTCGTCATTGCTATAGCACATGTACTTTCAGAGAGTAAAAATGGAACTACGACACTTCCCTTAAGCCACAAAAAAAAGGTACTGACTGGTAGGACGGCAAATAAATTATCTTCCCGCTTACTCAATTTTACGAATCCAGTTGCAGAGTCATTTAAAAAAATGTAGATAGAACTAGCAAAATTTTCTTTAAACCCCAAAACTGAAGGCCCACCATCATTTTTGTTGCAAATGTCTGCAAACAGAAAGTAAAAGACGAACAGAGGATTTGAAGATTGAATTGAAAGCAATATCAATGTATAAAGCACTAATATCAAAATTGGACGAAAAGGTGATGGCTGAGGAAGACATAAGAAAATACTATCTCGGAGTATCGGACACGCATCTCACGAACCCACTACCTCCTGATCAACACATTTTGCAACCAGAAGCAAGAAATTTTTCATGAGATAAATAAATCAGAAATTAAATTATCTTCCCCATTACGTCGTCTGTTAATAAGACTCAATCTCAGATCCAACTGTACTAATCCATCTTTTGCTGAAGCAATGGGTTATCCTGTCCAAACCCCGTAGAATATACAAACAAAAGTTATCAAATGGGAGGACATCCACCATCAATTTATAATTGCGAAAGGAAATGTGAAGCCTGGATTTGAAGATAAATTTTAAAACATCAAAACGATTGTAAAATTTGGGTGATAAGGATAATTACAAACAGACACAAAGTAATTCTAAACTTTAAATCAAACTGGCAATAACTGAAACTGACAATTCACATCTTGGCGCCCTACTCTGTTGCCACCTGCTGTCAAAACCAAAGGTCCAGAACAGCATATTGCTATTGTTGCTATTATAACAAAAACGAGGAACACTGAGTCTTCAGACGGCATAAAGAAGAGGCAATTCTTTAGACAAGACAAAGATTTAACAGGTAGGGACTCTTTCATGATGAAATAGAAGTTTAGTTGTACCCAGATACTCTGATTCGCCCAGCCAAACATCATACGTGGTAAACCAAGCTTCTCAGGACTTCACACAAAACCAGGATAAGGAGAAATACTCAAACTTGAAGCTCTGTCTTCCACCAAAAATCATACTTTAACTATTTCCGTAAAAGAAAACCAAATAAATGGACCATCAAACTTTGATAAGAGAAAACATAATCCAAACCCAAACAATAGTGGCCATAACCAAAACACCATACCACATGCTGTACAAAATCGAATGAGAAGGATGATGATTACATTAAGAATATATAATCTGGAACAGACAAAATCATATCAGACAGTAGACACCACTAGAACCCACTGATCAACATATTACACAATCAGAAACAAAAGAAAGATCCATACGCTAATTAAATCAGAAAATAAATTATCTTCCCATCATCAGATTAAACCTGAGATCTCTAGCTTAAGCAATTGGCCAGATTAAACCTGAGATCTCTAGCTTAAGCAATTGGCGATCCTATCCACGTTATCCAGGTGTTCGTAAGCTCCTATCCACAATATTCAGGTATAACAAGCTCTAGCAAAATCAGATACATCGTTCTAGTTGCACAATTAGCTTAGTTCCATAAAATAAAGATGAAACCTTTCCTAAAACCACAAAACAGAATGTACCAAGTACCGAAGAGTAGGATCGCCATCAAAATGTTTGTCGCAAGTTTCTGCAGGAAAAGCAGTAAAGGGATTTAAAAGAGATATTAAAAACAATTGCAATCTAAAGTTATAAAAGTAAGGAGGATGAGGGAGAGAGAGAAAGCAAGATTGAACATTTTTTGGAGCCGACGGATATCTCAGAGCGGAGTCGATCAAAGGTTCCAAAGCAAAGGTCTAGGAATATCATAAGGAGAATCAAATCTTAATGAGCAAAATTGGGAGAATGTTCTTCAGATGAGACTCGTATATGCAGATCAAAAGGAAGAAACTTTAACAGACACTGCTTATAATCATCAGCCAAAACATCTTATCTGAACCGACCTTTTAAGAAGAACAGAAAACATCTGTCACATAAACACAATTACGACAAAAGAAAGAGAACATACTCGTATTCAAAGTGCTTTCTTTGCCAAAGAATCTTTTTCAAACCACGTTGAGCAAAAATCAAATCAGCCGATTACCAAACCCTACCAAGATAAAATACAATCCAATCATATAGCGCAGGATAATAAACAACTTGTTGATGCATAACCGGATATCATACCTAATACCACGCCGGATCAAAATCACCAAAACCAATTCAGAACCACAATCAAACGGCCGGGGAAAAAGATACGCCGGCGAATCCATAATGATACGATTATCATACCGACAAAATAACCCCAAATAAAATCAAATCAGGACCAAAATCAGACGGTATCGCGAAATAGAAGAAAAAACAAACGACGGATAATCGCAGCCGATTGAATTGAGTTGAATTGCGCAGGTTTCATAGCGACGATGATATACATATAATCTAGAAAAACGGAGACGACAAATAAATAATCAAACAAAACTCTAAAATTCGCAGATAACCAAAGGCGATCGAATCAATAACAAAGACGAGAGACGAAGCAATGAGTTACGGTTGTAGGAGGGGATGGGTATTTATAGAAGAGTCGGTGATGAGTGGACAGCTGAGATTAATCTGATCCGAGGGTCAGAACTCTTTGTCCGTTACGCATATTAGTATTTTATTCGTTTTTTTTTTTTTTTTTTTTAATTTAATTACTTTCCAAATTTGAGGCCACCACCTCTACACGTGTTCCTTTTCGATTTCTTTTTCTTTCCTTTTTTTCCTTTTCTTTTTTTTTTTTGTTTTGTTAAATTTTATTTTCCCCATTTTGGTTCGCTATCACTTTACCCCATCATATTCACGATTGCATCCATTTGACTCTGCACTTGAAAATTTGTCTCAATGTGCCCATCGTTGTTAATTGTCAACATTTGACATTAACACCTTTTGATCTATGCTATGAAATTACGAAAAACGACACCTCTCCCAGTTTAAATAATTATTTAAAAAGCAAAAAAAATAACCAGAAAATAAAATAATTCGAAATTCAAGACAACGAGAAAATATAGTCCACGACGTCAACCACATTTTTTTTCAATAATTATTTAGGCTCCGTTTGATAGGATTAAGTGCTTAATGCTGAATGCTGAATAAATATCTGAATGGGTAAGAGCTGTGTCTGATTGCTGAATGCTGAATAATTAAGTTCATTTGATAACTGAATATTTGTAATGTCTGAATACTGTAATTTTCCTTATATACCCTTGTATAATTCTGAAACATTATTGTTAATTAAATTTGATTAGAATATATGAATAAACATACTTTTTTAGCATGAATTACTTTAGTAAATTATAAAAATTTGGCGGACATTATATATCTTGATATAAACAATAATATTTAACATAGACAAAATATAAATTTCAAATTTTAAATTCAAACGACTAATAAAAATAAAATTCATAAATAAAAGCAGAGAAAATATAAAAATACATTAAAGTAATTAAATTTGGCTGAAAAATATTAATCGCTAAAATTAACATGAAAAAAATTAATAAATTCTAATTGGTCCTGGTTCCTCCAGGCATCAATTGGGTTGCTATCTCATCGCGCACATTTGCCATGTATTGCATGTCTTCGTCCCCCCACCATGGCCCAGTAGTTGTACCATCATTCACAAGGTTTTGCTCATCCTCATTCGTACCGTCAAATGGCATATTAGGTTGATCAAACTCCTCAAAAAGTGTATCACTTATACGCTCTTTCCTTATAAAATTATGCACCGCAAAACAAGCAATCACTATATTTCTCTGCACATTAAACGAAAAAGGGGCCATTTTTTGTAAAATCGAAAATCTTTTCTTCAGAACTCCATAAGCTCGTTCGATAACATTTCTTAGTTGAGCATGAGCATGGTTAAATCTTTCTTCTTTAGTTAAAGGACGCCTACGACGATAATCTCCTAACCAATATCGTACATTACGATATGGAACCATAAATCCTCTAGTATGTGTATATGCAGCATCACAAAGATAGTATTTACCTGTAACCATTATAATTATAAAGTAATATCAAATTTAACGTATAAATATTAAGAATTTAGTTTGAATTTAAATTAATACCAGGTGGAGGCCATGGAAACCCGTTTCTTGGATCAGCAACTGTATCTGTTAAGACTCTTGAATCATGTGTTACCCCTTCCCAGCCTGCCCAAACGAACGTAAAAATCATATTAAAGTCGCATATTCCTAAAATATTTTGATAACATTCTCCCTTTCCTCTACCCCTATACATAGTCTGCTGTGAAATTGGAACAATGGCAGGTATTAATGTTCCATCAAGTGCACCAACTGCTCCCTACATTTAAATAAAATAAAAAATGTATGCAAACATTAGAGAATTTACAAATCTAAAGAAATAAAATAATGACAAAAGAAATATACAATGCACAAAAACATCTACCTTAAAAATGCGGTTTAACCTCCTAAAACTTGCTGACATGTTTGGATTTGGGTCAAATGTTGTGGGTACTATTACCTCCCTTGCCATATTCATCATTGCACTCAACACTTCGTGAAAACACGCATGAACTGTTTGTGAAGAGTGTTGAAATCTACGCTTCACCACACGAAGACGCTTATTATGCCCAATAATCTGTAAGAACATTGCCATTTTTTCTTCTACAGATATGTGTATACTATCATGTAGCCACCCTCTTTGTCTAAAATGCATGCTCAAACGAATATACGCAATACGAGACATGCGCATTAAATCCATACATTGTGTGTCTGACCCAGACAATAGCTCTAACGTGTAAGCATGACCCGACAATGCTGAGTTGTTATCTATATTTCTTGGTACACGCATTAAATGTCGCGGTCGAATTTGTGTGTACCAATAGATCATCATCAATATCATAATCTCATAAATTTCCATATGTAACCTGTTAACATAAATGAATAATGCAATTAAATATTTAAGAATCAACATTTCCTAAGCAAATAATTAAATCATAAAGAGAATCCAACTCACAAGGCAAATATAAAACAAAGTCTATCATTATTAAAAACAAAAAACACACAAAGTTCATAACTATTGTACGGAAATTTAAAAAAAAAAAATCAATAAAAGTAAATACTACTGAAGTCTTAAAATTAATTTGCATAAGTCCTTGCAAGTTAAAATTCAAATCCCATATTTTGTCCAATTCTTTTAATCCATACTTTCAGAACGCCCACATTATCCTTAGGAAACGCCATCCAAGCTTCTCTATGTCCCGCGCAACTACCAAATATCACAACAGCAGACACATAAAAGATGTCTTCTTTATCCCATCCAAGTTCATCCAATTTAGCAATGCAATCTGTAACTGACGGTCCACTGTTATTTTTTATCATTAACTTCAAAGCAGCTGACATCTCTTCTATTAAGTTATTATCACTAGACGAAGGTCGGATCTTTTTCTTTTTCTTTTTAGGCTCTTCTCCTCGTGAGTGATGGTTGGAATCATTACTCTGAGTGTCTGTGGTAGGGACAAAATTTTCATCTTCATCACCAAACAAAATATCTTCTATGTCATTTTGTTCCGCATTTCGAACAGTTGAAGAAAATGAGCTAGTACCAGGATTTGGGTCTTGGGAACTAGGACCCCAAGAATGAACCCCTGTAGCAGTGGTTCCATCAAATAGTGCTCTACAAAGGTCAGGATACGGTAAGGGGGCAAGTCTTAAACTCCTTGCCTTAGGATGAGCCTGTATTTAGGTATGAAATAATAATTCTTAATATAGTGGAATAGTTAATGAAAATTACTTAGATAACACAGTGAAGAACTTAAACACTAGACCTTTATATACTCTGTCCACTCATCCTTATAAGTCATGTTGATGGTGTTGGTCGCATGATTGTAAATATTGCCTGTTTTCATTGTTAACGGCAACCAAGCTTGATACTTTTGTTTTAAGTAGTCGTATCTATTCTTCATTTGTCTTTGAGAAACCACAAAATTATAATTATTCTTGAGAGTATCCATAATCTTGGCCCAAGATTCAGCCTTAAGGCTTCCTCCTTCTCTGCCATTGAGAGCAACTTCTTGGATACATGCTTCGAGAAAACATTTATCTACTTCAATATTGTTCCATCTGACTCTATTATTTTCCTCTGATTCTTCCATCCCTACGCTCATGGATATTTATGCGCAAAAGAAAATTTTAAACCAACATACAGTATCACATATTATTACTACAAACTACCGACAAACAAAAAACTTAATAAGAAAATAAAGTTAAGAAGCCTTGTGAAAAAATTAAACTAGCATATAATAGCACATGTCCTGCAGAAAATATTTGAGAAATTTATTTCTCAAAAGTCAATATGCATACCATAGTCAACTTGCATACCCATAAAAACTCATATATATAATATTTAAATGCATCAGTGAGAGGTGTGGAAAAATCCATAAATTTGGCTAATGCATTTACAGTAGGTTGACCAATATTGATATTTATGTGACTTTCAAGTGTGCAACTTTGGCACTTTGCTAATAATATATCCTAGTAGATTTATTATTCAACCACTAATAGTCTAATATCATTATTTTTACTCAGCTCCAGCCTCCATGCATGAGTTCCATATAAACAATCAAAGCTTAATTTGAAGGAAAAAAATGATAAAGGCACATGGGTAATCTAAAATTCAATTGTGTAGTCGTGACGACTCAACTAACCTTTCTTCTTGCTCATGATTATTGAAAAATAATGCACAAAATACATATATTGTTGATAGGAGAAACTAGGAAAAAGGAAAAAAAAAAAGGAATAAAAAAAACAAAACAATTCTAACTCAGACCTTGCAAAAGTAGTAGAAGGTTCCACTCTTTTAATTTGAGACATCATTTAAGGTTGTATTATGTTTTTTGTTTAATCTAGCAATTTTTACTAATCCTTTTACTTAAATTTATCCCAATCCTTAACAGTTAATACAGTAGATAAAAATTTGACATGGTGATATAAATTTGATTGGTATGATAACGATTTTTATTGGAATTAAGAATATATATATATATATATATATATATATATATATATATATATATATATATATATATATATTCTTAATTCCAATAATAATCATTATGATACCAAACAACAACAGTATTACCTACACTTGTTTTTGGTTGCAGGGATCTTCAATTAGAGAATGTGGAGATAGTTGGAGATATCAGCATATTTGATACGGAAGCTTCTCATGACAGAATATTTTCCATTTAAATATTTGAGGTACCAATTTGTTGCTTGATTCAACTATTATTATTAATTATTACTGGTCATGCTCGTGAAATTTGCTACGCTCACTTAATACAGCATATGAAAAACTACCGTGATCTTCCTAAGAAGATATCCAAGTTGATGAAATCCGAGAGGGAGATTGATGAAAGAAGAAAGATGAAACTTACCGAATAATTTTCGTTTATGATTTTTGATAGGAGCTTCGAAGCCGCCAAGAGCAGATT